TGCTGCTGCTGTGGCTGCTGCTGCAGTTGCAGCAGCTGCTGCTGCTGCTGCAGCAACTCTAAAGGCACATACCAAGGCCTGTTAAAGCCCTCAGTTGCTCCGCTGTGGGGGGCCCCTGGGGGGCCCCCAGGGGGGCCCCCCGAGGGTACAGCTGGGGGTAAACCTTTAAGGCTTTGTCCGGTGTCCATTGTTGTTGCTGTTACGCCTCAGCAGCAGCAGCAGCAGCAGCAACAGCAGCAGCAGCAGCAACAGCAGAAGCACACATAAACTCAGTCCGTCTTTACGGGGCCCCTAGGGGCCCCCCGTCCGCAGCGGGTAAGGGGGGGGGCTGCTGCTGCTGCTGCAGGCGACACCGAGACACCGCTGCTGCTGCTGCTGCTGCTGCTGCTGGGATAAGCAAACTGTCTGTCCTTATTTGAGCCATCGGGGGGCCCCAAGGGTTTTAGGGGGCCCCCAGGAGTTGGCGATGTGAGGGAACAGCAGCAGCAAGAGTAAGCGACTGCGCCAGGGTTCAGGGTTTAGGGTTTGGGATTTAGGGTTTAGGGTTTGGGGTTTAGAATCCAAAAAATACAATGCAGCGTTCAAAAATTAGGGATTAGGGTTTTGGACAAGAAATTCCCTCGGATGCCGCAGCAGCCGCCGTGGCTGCATTGACGAGTCGACGCCTCTGCATGCAGGGTTTAGGGTTTAGGGTTTAGGGTTTAGGGTTTAGGGTTTGGGGTTGACTGCAGAGAATAATTTTAATGCAACTTTAGTTGCAGCAAATCGCCTCAAAGAAAACCCGAAACTCGGTGCTGCTGCTGCCAGTACACCCCAGTTACCGCTCTGGGCGAAAACCCTAAACCCTAAACCCTAAACCCTCGAACCTAAACCCTAAACCCTAATCCCTAAACCCTAAATCTCAAGTCTCGGGCCTTGGAAACGCGCAAGAGCTTAGGAAGCGCCCGAGTGCTGGGCGCAGCAGCTGGAGGGTTTAGGGTTTATCCTAGAACTAGGGTTTAGGGTTTAGCGCCCGCTAGGGTTTAGGGTTTCGCTTCGGTAGGAAATAAAGAAACAGAAATGCGGCGGAGACAGAACTGCTGGAGGGTTCAGGGTTTAGCTGCAGCGGAAGCAGCAGTGCAGCACGAGGGTCTAGGGTTTGGCTAGAACAGCAAAAAGCAAACCGAGGGTTTAGGGTTTAGGGTTTGGCGCTAAGCTGCTCCCTCTTGTCCCCTACTTTATGTGTCTCTCACTTTCCTTTCTGCACTTCGTGTCTCCCCCTCACTCCACCAAACCCTAAACCCTAGTGTTCCAACCCTAGTAAGGTCAGCTCGTAACAACAAACCCTGTTTCCTTTCTCCTAGGGTTTGGGGCCCCTTTAGGGGGGCCCGGGGCCCACAAAGGGAGCCCTAAACCCTATCAGGGGCCCCTTGGAACCCCTGATAGGGTTTAGGGCCCTTGGGGGCCCCTTGGGGGCCCCCAAGGGGCCCCTTGGGGGCTCCAGGGGCCCCCAAAGAGGGCCCTCTAGACCCTCTGCCTTGGGGCCCCTTTAGACGGGGCTCTAGACCCTGCGAGGGGCCCCCATAAAGGGGCCCCCGGGGCCTTGGGGGACCCTAAAGGGAGCTCCTAGGGGCCCCTTTTGGGGGCCCTAGGGGCCCCTTTTGGGGGCCCTAGGGGCCCCCAATAAGGGTCCCTGGGGGCCCTAAGGGACCCCCAAGGGGGGGCTTAGGGGCCCTTAAAAGGGGTGCCTGGGGGCCCCCAAAAGGGGGCTCTGGGGGCCCCCGAAGGGGGCCCCCATAGACCCGGTAATCTAAGGGGCCCCTAGGACCCTTAAGGGCCCCTCAGGGCCCCCAAGGCCCTTAGGAGCCCCCATAAAGGGGCCCCTAAAGCCTGTTTGGGGGGCCCCTGGGGCCCCGAAACCCGATTTGAGAGAGGCCCCTAGGGGCCCCTTGGGGGCCCCCAAGGGTCCACTGGGGGACCTCTAGGGGCCCCCTCAGGGCCCCCAAACCTCTATCAGCATAAAAGCTTGGGGGCCCCTAGGGGCCCCCAAGAAGCTCACCAGTCTCTTTCGTGGTTGGTTTCCTTTTTATTTAAAAAAGCTGTTAGGGGCCCCCAAGGGGCCCCCTGGAGGCTCCCAGGGGCCCCCTGGGGGACCCCAGGGGGCCCCTAGGGGGCCCCCTAAGTGGTGCGGAGCTGTCTTTAAGGCTGGAGTGTAGTGGGAAATTCTTTTTCGCGGCTTTAGGGTTTAGGGTTTAGGGTTTAGGAAGCTGTGGGGTTTGTGCCGTTGGCAAAAGCCCTCAATTCGTCCGCAGTAAATAAATGAGTGTTTTGAATCCTGCGGAACTTGTTGAGGTGTCTGTACACCGCAGAGAACAAACCCTAAACCCTAAACCCTCACAGCCTGAACAGCCCCTCAAACCCTGAACCCTAAACCCTCGCAGCCTGAAAGGCTCCTCAAACCCTAAACCCTAAACCCTAAACCTTCATAGCCTGAACAGCCCCTCAAACCCTAAACCCTAAACCCTCGCAGCCTGAAGTGCCCCTCAAACCCTAAACCCTAAACCCTCAGATCCTCGCTCTTCATGCTCACAAGGCGTTATTGGTCGCATTCAATTAAATTAATTATTTATTTACTTTTATTAATTTACTTATTTATTTATTTATTTATTTTAATTTATTTATTTTTTGATATTTCGCCCACCTGGTCCTCTGCCGCTTCTCCTGCCCCCTCTGTTTGGCCTGGTTGTTTGTTCTGTGAATTAAAAACAAATAAATAAATAAATAAATATAAATAAATAAATAAATAAATATAAATATCATATAAATAAATAAATAAATAAAAATAAATAAATAAATATAAATAAAAAAATAAAATAGATAAATAAATCATTTCAAACTTGCCCGGCTTCTGGCTTTTGCTGCGTCAGCAAATTCGCAGAATTGAAATGCAGCAAAATGGCCTCGAGGGGAGGCAGCTCAACCTGCGCAAACCCTAAACCCTAAACTCTAAACCCTAAGCCTTAAACCCTAAACCCTGAGCTCTAGGCGACATGGAGAACAAGCGCAGTAGAGTAGTAGTAGCAGCAGCAGCAGCAGTAGCAGCAGCAGCACAGCAGCAGCAGCAGCACAGCAGCAGCAGCAGCAGCACCACCACCACCAC